GCTGAGAAACTGCGGTATACAAGCAAAGTAACTAAATAAATAATAAATAAAGAAATAGGCAGTAAGGGCACCTAGAGCTTCGGAGAGCTTCTTTTCAACCATCTTCAAACTACAAGAGAGGAGATTCCATCTGAACATGAGGAAGAACTTCCTGACTGTGAGAGCCGTTCAGCAGTGGAACTCTCTGCCCCGGAGTGTGGTGGAGGCTCCTTCTTTGGAAGCTTTTAAGCAGAGGCTGGATGGCCATCTGTCAGGGGTGATCTGAATGCAATATTCCTGCTTCTTGGCAGAATGGGGTTGGACTGGATGGCCCACGAGGTCTCTTCCAACTCTTTGATTGTATGATTCTATGATCTCAAAGCTCCCTGCTTGAGTGGTGATGGCACGATCATCAGCATAGATGAAACTCTCTGTCGCCTCCAGTTTGCAGATGGAAGCTCCGCCCACGATGGGGAGGAGTCTAGCGAGGCCCCGCCTCCTTTTAAATACCCCGCTGTTCCGCTTTCCTTGGTGTCCTGCCTCCAATTGGCATATGAAGCCCTGCGTTGTCCATGCCCGCCCGCTAGAGGGCGCTGCGAAGCTCAGAAGGCCTATCTGTGGAGGTCTCTCTGCTGTTCCGGCGCTCTGCTTCCGGCTTCTTCCTTCCTTCCTTCCTTCCTTCCTGTCTTCCTTGGGCAATGGCGGCGGTGCGGGGCCTCCGCGTCTCCCTCAAAGGGCCGGCCTCGTCGGAGCCGGAGCCCATGGAAGTGGAGGAGGGAGAGCTGCTCTTGCCGCCGCCCAAGGAGAGGGAGGAGGAGCCAGAGGAGGAAGAAGAAGAAGAAGGCGAGGAGGAGGAGGAAGAGGAGGAAGAGCAGAAGCCTCCTCCGCCGCCGCCATTGGAAGAGGAGGAGGAGGAGGAGGAAGGCGGAGGAGAGGCCTCGGGGAGCCTGCGGAGGGCGCTGCCGGTAAAAGAGGCCTCTGGGCGTGTGCAGAGTGTGCCTAGAAGGAGCCAGGGCTGGGCGGGCATCTGTCGGGAGGGCTTTGATTGTGTTATACACATGGGATGGCCTTCTCAGGTCCCTCACGACTCTAGGATTATAGTATTATTATTCATAATGACGACAACAACAAAATAATAGGCAGGAGTTGGGTTGGAAGGTCTTGAGGTATCTCTTCTCTAGGATTGTATGAAAAGAGGTTGGATGGCCATCTGCCGGGAAGGTTTTGATCCTACTCTAGGATTTTATAATACACTTCTCTCTCATATATATATGTCACTAGTCACAACAACAAAATAATAGAGCATCTCTTCTAGGATTCTAGAATTGTATGAACAGAGGCTGGAAGACCATCTGTTGGGAAGGTTTTGATCTCACTGTACAATTTTATAATACACTTCTCTCTCACACATACATATGTATATCGCTAGTCACAACAACAAAATAATAGAGCATCTCTTGTAGGATTCTAGAATTGTATGAACAGAGGCTGGAAGACCATCTGTTGGGAAGGTTTTGATACCACTCTAGGATTTTATAATACACTTCTCTCTCAATAATATATACGTTAGTCACAACAAAATACTAAAAATAGGGCAGGAGTTGCATTGGAAGGTCTTTAGGCATCTCTTCCCACTCTAGGATTGTATGAATAGGAACTAGATGGCCATCTGCTGGGAAGGTTTTAATCTTGCTCTGGGATTTTATATTACACTTCTCTCTGGTCACAACAACAGAATAATATAGGGTAAGAGTTGGATTGGAAGGTCTTTAGAGATCTCTTCCCACTCTAAGATTGTGTGAACAGAGGCTGGAAGGCTATCTGTCAGGAAGGTTTTGATCTGGCTCTAGGGTTTTATAATACAATTCTTTCTCTCATGTGTGTGTGTGTGTGTGTGTGCATATATATATCTCACTAGTCACAACAATAAAATAATAGAGCATCTCTTGTAGAATTCTAGGATTGTATAAACAGAAGCTGAATGACCATCTGTAAGGAAGGTTTTGATCTCACTCCAGGATTTGACACCAGCACATAATGACAACAACAAAATAATAATAGGGCAGGAGTTGGGTTGGAAGGTCTTGAGGCATCTCTTTCCACTCTAGGATTCTAGGATTTGTATGAACAGAGGCTGAAAGGCCATCTGTCGGGAAGGTTTTGATCTCACTCTAGGATTTTATAATACACTTCTCTCATATATAGATCACTAGTCACAACAACAAAATAGTAGAGCATCTATTTTAGGATTCCAGAATTGTATGAACAGAGACTGGATGACTATCTGTCGGGAAGGTTTTGATCCCACTCCGGGATTTTATAATACACTTCTCTCCCGATATATATATATACACTAGTCACAACAACAAAATAATAATAGGGCAGGAGTTGGATTGGAAGTACTTTAGGGATCTCTTCCCACTCTAGTATTGTATGAATAGGAACTAGATGGCCATCTGCTGGGAAGGTTTTAATCTTGCTCTGGGATTTTATAATACACTTCTCTCTCTCTCTCTCTCTCTCTCTCTCTCTCTCTCTATATATATATATATATATATATATATCACTATTCACAACAATAAAATAATAGAGCATCTCTTCTAGGATTTTTGGGTTGTATGAACAGCCTGGATGGCTATCTGTCGGGAAGGTTTTGATCCTACTCTAGGATTTTATAATATACTTCTCTCCCGATATATATATACTCTAGTCACAACAACAAAATAATAAAAATCGGGCAGGAGTTGGATTGGATGGTCTTGAGGTATCTCTTCCTTCTCTAGGTTTGTATGAACAGAGGCCGGTTGGCCATCTGCTGGGAAGGTTTTGATCTCACTCCAGGATTTTATAATACACTTCTCTCTAGTCACAACAAAATAATAATAGGGCAGGAGTTGGATTGGATGGTCTTGAGGTATCTCTTCCCACTCTAAGATTGTGTGAACAGAGGCTGGATGGCCATCTGTTGGGAAGGTTTTAATCTCGCTCTAGGATTTTATAATACACATCTCGAGTCACAACAACAAAATAATAATAATAGGGTAGGAGTTGGACTGGAAGGTCTTGAGGCATCTCTTTCCACCCTAGGATTGTATGAACAGAGGCTGGATGGCTATCTGTTGGGAAGGCTTTGATCTCACTCTAGGATTTTAGAATACAATTCTCTCTCAGTCAGAGTATTTTATGATACACTTCTCTCTCATATATATATATAGAGCCCCCGGTGGCAAAGTGGGTTAAACTGCTGAGCTGCTGCACTTGCTGATCGAAAAGTTGCAGGTTCGAATCCAGGGAGCTGGGTGAGTTCCCGCTGTCAGCCCTAGCTTCTGCCAACCTAGCAGTTCGAAAGCATGCAAATGTGAGTAGATGAATAGGTACTGCTCCGGTGTGAAGGTAATGGCACGCCATGCAGTCACATGACCTTGGAGGTGTGTATGGACAACGCCGGCTCTTCGGCTTGGAAATGGAGATGGGCACCAGCGTCAGACACGACTGGACTTAATGTCGTGGGAAAACCTTTACCGGGAGGGTTTGGATGGTGTCTTTATAGGGTTGCACTTGGAGTCCCTCCCGACTCTAAGATACTATAATTCACTGCTCAGATAGATAGAGAGATAATATCTATCATATCTATTGTCCGCCATCTTTGGCTGGATGACCATCTGTCGGGAGGGATTACATGGCGTCTTCCTTTATGGCAGATGGGCTTGGAGTGGATGACGATTCTATGATATGTGTGTGTGTGTCATACCTATTGCTCTCTATCTTTGGCGGAATGGCCATCTGCTGGGAGGGTTCGGATGGTGCTTTCTGTGACAGAATAGCATTGGATGGCCTTTCTTCTCTTCCAGGACACCAGCCGGAGATACGAAAACAAAGCTGGGAGCTTCATCACCGGGATAGACGTCACATCCAAGGTCCTTACTATTATTATTATTATTATTATTATTATTATTATTATTATTATTATTATTATTGGTATTACCTGTAGAGTATACATCTACGTGCCTTTTGTTTATCCCTTGGTTGCTTTGTTTCCTTTGCCTTTTCCCCTTAGGAAGCCATTGAGAAGAAGGAGCAGAGAGCCAAGCGCTTCCACTTCCGCGCAGAAGTGAACCTGGCCCAAAGGAACGTGGCGCTGGACCGGGACACCATGAAGAAAGGTCGGCCTCACATTCACATAGATTGCTTTACATAGATTTTGTTTCTTTATTTATATTATTATGATGAAAAATACATTACATCAAATATTATATTACATTATAATACATTACATGTGGCCTGCCCATTGTCACTGCGTTTGTGTTTATTGTAGTTTTATATTGTTGTATATTCATAATTTTTTTTGTAATTATGATGTTGTTTATTGTTTGCGTTTTCGTTTGCGTTCAGTCGTTCTTTATTGTAATTGTTGTTCGGACTTGGCCCCATGTAAGCCGCTCCGAGTCCCCATCGGGGAGATGGTGGCGGAGTACAAATAAAGTTTATTATTATTATTATTATTTATATCTGTTATTATATTTATTATATTTAATATTATTATATCTATTATTATATTTATTATTATATTACTAGCCATCCCCTGCCACACGTTGCTGTGGCCCAGTCTGTGTATATGTCTTTTGTGTGTGTATATACGTGTTTATGTGTGTATATATGTTTGTGTATATGTGTGTTTGCGCATATATGTATATATTTGTGTTTGTGTGTGTATATTTGTGTATTCATGTGTTTATATCTGTATGTGCATGTTGTGTATCTGTGTGTGCTTGTCTATGTGCATATTTGCATGTATATATGTACGTATGTGTGTATATGTATATATTTATGTGTTCATGAGTATATGTTTATGTGTGTATATATGTATATTTGTGTGTGCATGTGTATATTTGTGTGTGCTTGCGCATATGTATACGTGTGTGTATGTATGTATGTATATGTATGTGTATGCGTGTATGCATGTGTATATTTGTGTGTGCTTGTGCATATATATACGTATGTGTATGAATGTATGTATGTAAATATATATGTATGTATATGTATGTGTGTATGCATGTGTATATTTGTGTGTGCTTGTGCATATATATACATGTGTGTATGAATGTATGTATGTATGTGTGTATGCATGCGTATATTTGTGTGTGCATGTGTATATATGTATATTTGTGTGTGCATGTGTTTATGTATCTGTGTGCATGTATAATATATGTGTGTGTACATATGTATATTTGTGTGTGCTTGTGCATATATATACATGTATATGAATGTGTATATGTATATGAATGTATGTATATATGTATACATAGTGTATTTTGGGGTTTTTTAAGTCTGTTCCGCCGGGGTGTGTGTGTGTTTGTGGGTGAGGGACACTTGTTGGACTGTTATGTGTATTGTGTCAAAATTTCATGTCAATTCGACCACTGGTTTCTGAGTTATGTTAATCTCACAAACAAACATTACATTTTTATTTATATAGATGATTTTATTATGAGATTTATTATTATAATTATATTTCAAATAATTATTATATTTAATATTTTTTTACTATCTTGGGTCCCCCGGTCTTGCCTCAGTTATTTGAAAAACTCAATTTTTTAATTGTATCTAATGCATAATGCTGTGAGTGAACTACAACTCCCATCATGCCAGGTTCACCCTTTGAAACTCCATGAGTACTAAAGTTCCTTATATTGGACGAGTTTGCTCTTGATGCATCATGGGTGGGGTCCCTTTTCCTCTGCAGCCATCCCCAAGCTGCGCCTGGACACACTCTACGTTTTTGGCGTGGACGAGATGAGCACCCAGGACATCTTTGGCTACTTCAAGGAGTACCCGCCGGCCCACATCGAGTGGCTGGATGACACCTCGTGTATGTATTAATAGAAAAACGGGGGTGTTTGGGGGGGGGGGCATGTCTGCGCTCGGCCAACAGGGGCACGGCTTTCCTTGCAGGCAACGTGGTCTGGCTGGATGAAGTGACTGCCACCCGGGCCTTGATCAACATGAGCTCCATGCCGGAAGAGGAGGAGGACGATGAGGAGAAGGCGAAGTCCCAAGAGAGCGGCCGGAGGGGCAGGAAAGGTAGCCCCTTATGGCCTGGAAGATAGAATTACTATTATTATCTATGTATTATTATTGTTATTATTATTACTATTTTTATTAGACTCCTAGAGTTGGAAGAAACCCCAAGTCACCATCCAGTCCATATAATAGTTACATCATCATCATCAACATCATTATTATTATTATTATTATTATTATTATTATTATTAGACTCCTACAGTTGGAAGAAACCCCAAGTCACCATCCAGTCCATAGAATAGAATTTCTATTATATTATTATCTATGTATTATTATTTATTATTATTACTATTATTAGACTCCTATAGTTGGAAGAAACTATTAGAATTACTATTATATTATTATCTATTTATTATTATTATTATTATTATTATTATTATTATTATTATTATTACTACTACTATAATTAGACTCCTAGTTGGAAGACACCCCAAGTAGCTATCCAGTCCATATAATAGAATTACTATTATTATTATTATTATTATTATTATTATCATGACTATTATTTGACTCCTAGAGTTGGAAGAAACCCCAGGTCACCATCCAGTCCATAGAATAGAATTACTATTATATTATTATCTATGTATTATTATTATTATTAATATTACTACTACTACTACTACTACTATAATTAGACTCCTAGAGTTGGAAGACGCCCCAAGTACCTATCCAGTCCATATAATAGATTACTATTATTATTATTATTATTATTATTATTATTATTATTATTACTACTACTACTACTACTACTATAATTGGACTCCTAGAGTTGGAAGACACCCCAAGTACCTATCCAGTCCATATAATAGATTACTATTATTATTATTATTACTACTACTACTACTACTACTACTATGACTCCTAGAGTTGGAAGACACCCCAAGTACCTATCCAGTCCGTATAATAGAATTATTATATTATTATTATTATTATTAATAATAATAATTAGTAGTAGTAGTACTATTATTAGACACCTACAGTTGGAAGAAACCCCAAGTAGTCATCCAGTCCATATAATAGAATTACTATTATATTATTATCTATGTATTATTATTACTACTACTACTACTATTATTAGACTCCAAGAGTTGGAAGAAACCCCGTGGCTATCCTGTCCCTATAATAGAATTACTATTATATTATTATCTATGGATGTTGATGATGATGATTATTATTAGAGTTAGAAGGGACCCCCAAAGGCTATCCAGTCCAACCTCATTGTGCCAGGCAGGAAGATAACATCACTTTATGTATAGCTGCTGCTGCTGTTGTTGATGATATCGTCTCTCTATGTGTTGTTGTTGATATTATTATTATTATTATTATTATTATTATTATTATTATATATACGTGTGTGTATGAATGTATGTGTATATGTATATTATTCTACTACTACTACTATTGGACTTTGGAAGGGACACCAAAGCATCATCCAGTCCATATAATAGAATTACTATTATATTAATAGCTATGTATTCTTCTTATTATTATTGGAGTCCAAGAGTTGGAAGGGACCCCCAAAGACTATCCAGTCCAACCACATTCTTTCAGATAATATTGTCTGTCTGTCTGTCTGTCTGTCTGTCTATCTATCTATCTATCTAATCTATTTATTATTATTATTATTATTATTATTATTATTATTATTATTATCCTAGAGTGGGAAGGTAACCCAAAGTTCATCCAGTCCAACCACATCCTGCCAGATAATATTATCTATCTGTCTATCTTTATTGTTGTTGTTATTATTATTACTATTATTATTACTATGTATTAGACTCCTAGAGTTGGAAGGGATTTTCAAAAGCCATCCAGTCCATATAAAAGAAGGGCTATTATATTATTGTCTATTTATTATTATTATCATTATTATTATTATTATTATTATTATTATTATTATTATTGGACTCCTAGAGTTGGAAGATATCCCAGTGGCCATCCGGTCCATATAATATAATTACTATTATATTATTGTCTAATTATTATTACTTTTGTTATTATTAGAAGTTTTGTTCTTCGTTGCAGAGAAAGCGGAGGGGAGCTCGGAGGACGAGGCGGAGGAGGGCGAGGTGGAGGACGACCACCACAGCCAGGCCGAGGAGGTCAGTGGGAGAGGCCTTTCAATTCATATTATTTTAATTGCTCAGTTGCGGAGGGAGTATGGTTCAGTTCTTTGTAGTTTCCTTTTACTCTATCTATCTATTGATCTATCTACTTTATTGATTAGGAATTTCTCCCTCTGTCTGTAGCTGGACACTCTCTCCCAGGCAGAAGAGGACTCCCTGTTGCGCAACGACCTCCGGCCGGCAGTCAAACTGGCCAAAGGCAATAAGCTCTTCATGCGTTTCGCCACCCGAGGTGAGAAGTGGGCTGGATGGTCATCTGCCAGGGCTGCTTTGAGGGTGCATTTCCTGCATGAAGGCGGGGGGGGGGGGGGGGGGACTGGGTGACCATTTGGGGTCCCTTCCAATTCTAGGAGTCTACTGATAACAATAACAATAATAATAATAATAATAATGTGATTTTATGATACAAAATCCAGCATATAGATCTTGTTTGCTGTGACATACTGTATTTTTGTGTCAGTAAAATAATAATAATAATAATAATAATAATAATAATAATAATAATAATAATATAGGTTTAATATTATTCTCTTCCTGCCAGGCAGAAAGGAGTTGGACTGGATGGCCTTTGAGGGTCCCTTCCAACTCTAAGAGTCCCCTAGTAGTAATAGTAGCAGTAGTAGTAGTAGTAATAATAATACATACATACATACATGAATACATACATACATAGATAATATTATCTTCCTGCCTGCAGAATGGGGTCATACTGAATGGTTTTTTGAGGTCCCTTCCAGCTCCAGGAGTCCAATAATAATAATAATAATAATAATAATAATAATAATAATAATAATAATAAAAATGGTTTAATAGTATTCTCTTCCTGCCAGGCTGAAAAGAGTTGGACTGGATGGCCTTTGAGGATCCCTTCCAACTCTAAGAGTCCCCTAGTAGTAGTAGTAGTAGTAGTAGTAGTAGTAGTAATAATAATAATAATAATAATAATAATAATAATAATATATACATACATACATACATACATACATACATACATAATATTATCTTCCTGCCTGCAGAATGGGGTCATACTGAATGGTTTTCCAGCTTTAGGAGTCCAATATAATAATAATTATAATTATAATAATAAGAGTCTCCTAGTAGGGACTTCCGGTGGACGAAAATGGTGGCAGGAGCGGCTTGCTGAGGGCTCTCTGCAAGCCACCCGATTTCGACAGATCGAGAGGGGTATATCCCTTTCCTCAGCCCACGGATTGAAGGGGGCTGAGTTGCGGAGCCAGCGGATCCCTCACAAAAGCCCCAAGACGGTCCCCCCCCTCAAGGAGGGGGCTACAAGGGGCTGTGAGGAGACTGGTCGGGCGAGCGGATCGCGAACGGGAAGCGGGGGATACTCCGCATTCACTGCACCATCGTCCGTTTTAACTGAATGAAAGAGCGGAACGAAGGAAAAAAGGCCAGGTAAGCTGGCACAGAGCAACGTAAGTGCTCAGCTGAGAAAATTCACTTACTTTGAAACGACTCTAATCTCCAGCCCCCGGGGGGAGAACTTAAGAAATCGATCAAATTGAGATTCATCTATGAAATCCTCCCGCGACTTATAGAGGGAGGAAGATATTATAATCAACAAAATACCTGACTGGATAAGAGAAGCACTACGAGGTGCCATCTATTATAAGCTTTAAACCATAAAGAGACAAATAAGAAATTAGATGAAGGTGGGAGCCAGAAGGGAAAAGCTGACTTTAGCTTCCCAGTGAGTATAAATTGATATATCTAACAAGATTGGCTGGCACAGAATTTTCCCTCCTAACCCTCCAGCCCCACCAATCTTGGCTACAATAATACAACGCCTCTAATTAAAGTCACAAGATTTAAGTATAATTTTTAATACTTTGAGGAATTAAGATGGCGGATCAGAAGGAAGGACAACTACTGCGGCCGAATTGCTAACCTTGAGATGTAATTGTTGTGTCTACGGAGGGCTCTTCGTGTAAACATCTCCGCATGGTCTCCGCCTCCAGCGCCGACGACTGATTGTATCCGGGTGTTCACAGGAACAGGAAGTTACGAAACGAACTTTGCATATTTACAGAATACTGAGACTATAGAGCTATTGAAAGTACAGAGGCAGGAAGAGGCGGTGAGAGCAGCGAGGTGACGAGACAAATGGTTAACGGCCATAGAGTTTGAAAAATATAGACAACGGACCTGGATGAGAAGAAGACGACGTCGGACTAGGAAGAGAAGCAGACGGGCTACGGACCAGGAAGAGAAGAAGACGGGCTGCGGACCAGGACGAGAAAAAGACGGGCAGCGGACCAGGACGAGAAGAAGAAGGAAATTAGATCTGTTTTGTGATTCGATTTGTTTACTGAACGCTCGAAGAGGAAAGATTAATCAAGAGGGTAGAGAAAAGATTTCGAAAGACTTTGAATTTTTTGATGATCCCAACTGGGTCAAAGTAAGAACTTAATAGATAAAATACATACATATATCATCCACGATTAACAGAAAAATAAGAATAATCACACAATTAAAATAATTGATGAACTTGACCACTTATTATAAAGGTATTAGCAGTCTGGAAGAACAGTAATATAATATAATTAACAAATTAATGAATTGATAATCTGAATAATTAAATAAATAACTAAAAAATTATTAAATAAGATTAAAAAATTAAATTAAATAAATATTAATAAAAAAAAAATATTGAATAAATCAATAATAATAAAAAATTAAAAACAACAACAATAAAAATAAACAATAACAATAAATAATCAATTCAAACTACATTAACGACATCAGATCACAATGTCAACTTCAAAATTTAAATTGGAAAAAGACCTGAAGGATCCTAAAACCGCAGCCAGAAGAGGCTCAGGCCAAGAAGAACTTTTAGCAGCCATGACCCCAACTACATCGGCAGCAAGCTCTTCGACAGGGTGGAAGGAAGTACTAAAGGAGATACAAAAATTATCAGAGAAACAAGATCTTTTACAAAAAGATTTTGAGAAGAGATCAATAAGACATGAGGAACAACAAAAGCTGATTAGAGAAGAGATGGTGGGAATTAAGAAAGAGATAAAACAAGACTTGGAGAAGATGAGTAAGGACATAATTGACTTAAAAAAAGACAAATCAAAAATTGAAAAATCCCAAATTAAGCTTCAGAAGAAGGTTGATCAGATAGACAATAAGAACACTAAATTAGAAAAAATGCAGGACAGACTTGAACAAAATGAATCAGAGTACCAATTAAGATACCGAAATGTTGTTGAGGTCGAAAATGAAGATATCAGAGATACAATAATTAAGATAACAGCTAAAGTATTAGATTGTACAGAACAGGAAATGGACATGGGAATAGATCGCGTCTTCAGAATTCAAACCAATTATGCAAAGAAAAATAAAACTCCGAGAGACATAATAATTAAATTTGTTAGAAAGAAGGTGCGGGATGAGGTTCTCAAACAAAGTACTACAAAACCGATCTTTTTTAAAGACAACAAAATTTTGATTTTAAAAGAGTTCCCGATTTCAACTTTAAACAGACGTAGAAAATATTTTTTCTTGACGGACGAACTTAAACGACTTAATATCAGATTCCGGTGGGAGAAATACGAAGGTATCATGGCAACTTATAAAGGAGAAAAACACTGGCTTACGTCCGAAGAAAAAGCTAAAGATTTTTATAAAAGATTGGAGCGTGATAAATTGATAAAAACTTCACCGAAATCAGCAGAAAAAGGGAAGAAGCCTAAAAGAAAAAGATCTAATTCCCCAGAACCACTTGGCGCTACTTCCAGCATGCAATCGACGAATGAAGATGGAGATGATGAGGATGATGAAGAAGACGCGGCAGAATCGGAAGATATACAGACTACGGAATAAACATGGCGGATTTCACATATTATCTACACTGCTTCTCAAACAATGTTAACGGTTTAAACTCTCCTAACAAGAGAAAGAGACTCTATAACCAATTACGACGTGGCAAATATAGCATTATAGCACTGCAAGAAACTCATATCAAACATAAACATGCCCCATATTTAGAACAAAAACAATTAGGAAAATTATATCATTCATCAGCAGATAAGAAAAAAAGAGGGGTGGCTTTATATATAGATGAAAAACTCTCATCAGAATTATTACTTAAGGACCAGGAGGGTCGAATGATTGCAGTTAAATTAACTCTAGGGATGGAAACCATTATTGTTGTAAATATTTATGCCCCGAATGGACCGAAGTCCAAATTTGCGAAAACCCTTAAAGACTATCTATTGGATATTCGAGCAGATCATATGATTGTTTTTGGAGATTTCAATGGTATTATGGACAGAAAGCTAGATTCAACAAAACATCATAGAAACAAAAATAAAGAAACTCAAAGCACTTTACCAAATTCCTTCCACCAATTGAAAAGAGAATTTGATATGGATGACACATGGAGAGCTCACCATTTAAATGAAAAAGATTACACATTCTACTCAAACCGCCACGCCAGCTGGTCCAGAATCGACATGATCTGGACTACTAAGCTTCTAACATCTAAAGTAGATGAAATTAAAATCCGGCCAAGGGATCTATCAGATCACAGTCCTGTTACAATGGTGATAAATTATAAAAAACCTGTAAGAAGATGGAGACTAAATGAAAATCTTATAAAAACACAAGAAGATATTAATAACTATAAAAAGAGAACACAAGAATTTTTTGAAATTAACGACACAAGTGAGGTTAAGACCCAAATAGTTTGGGATGCATATAAAGCCGTGATGAGAGGACTGCTAATCCAACATAATTCAAAAAGAAATAAACTTAAGAACCTTAAAACAGCAGAGGTTGAAAAAGAAATACATAATAAAGAAATTGAGTTGAAGAAAGATCCAAAAAATCAAGAGTTGGTTAAGGAATTGACTCTCCTTAAGAAGGAAAAACATAGCCTGGAGATAGAAAAAATGGCAAAAGATTTGAAATATCTTAAACAAAATTCTTTTGAAAATGCCAATAAAATTGGCCGCTGGCTGGCAAGGAAATTAAGGAAAAAGAAAAGTGAGCTAGGCATAAACAAAATTAATATTAATGATAGGACGTTAACTAAAGATAGAGATATTCGGGAGGCTTTTCGAAAATTCTACCAACATCTGTTCAAAGAAGATAATCTTGACAAAGAAAAAATAATGAAATACCTAAATATTCAGAAATTGGGAAAAATTTCAGAAGAACAGAGGGAAAATTTAAATAAACCTATTTCCCAATTAGAAATCAAGAAAGCAATTAACAATCTGAAGAACAATAAAGCACCAGGACCGGACGGCTTCACTGCTGCTTATTATAAAATTACTCAAGAAGAAATTACACCTATGTTACAAAAAATTATGAATAAAGTTTTAAATGATCGAGAAATTCCAGAAACATGGAAATTGGCAGACATCACATTGATTCCGAAGGATGGAACAGACCCAGCAGAAATAAAAAATTACCGCCCGATTTCGTTATTGAATTTGGATTATAAAATTTTTGCAAGTATTATGGCGGATAGATTTAAAACATTTTTAGTAGATTGGATTGGAGAAGACCAAAACGGCTTTTTGCCTAGAAGAAATATTAAGGACAATTTAAGAATAATTATTGATGCTCTAGAGTTTTATGAATGCCACCACCAAAAAGAAATTGCATTATTGACGATAGACGCTGAGAAAGCGTTTGACAATATGAAATGGGACTTTGTTAAACTGCTTTGCAAAGAAGTAGACATTGGATTTCATTTTCAAAATGTAATTGAAACAATTTTGGATGACCAAAGAGCTAAATTATGGATCAATGGTATTAGTACAGAAGAAATAAAGATAGAAAAAGGGGCGAGGCAGGGATGCCCATTGTCCCCCCTGATTTTTATTTTCGTGCTAGAAGTCCTGTTGAGAAATATCAGACAAGACAAGACCCTGAGGGGTCTGAAAATAGATAACCAGGAATGTAAGATCAGGGCCTATGCGGACGATCTCATAGCCATAATTGAGAACCCTAGAGACAATATTGAGAATTGGATTAAGGTATTGGAAGATTACGGAGAAGTGGCAGGTTTTAAATTAAATAAGGAGAAAACAAAGATGTTGACTAAAAATATATCTCATGAGAAGCAGAAAGAACTTCAAGACAAATCTGGAATTAAGATAGCTAATAAGATTAAGTATTTAGGTGTGTGGTTAACTGCGAGGAACCTCCACCTCTTGGAAAATAATTACTTAAGTAAATGGAAGGAAATCAAAAAGGAACTGGAAAGCTGGGAAAGACTTAATTTATCTCTGTTAGGAAGGATAGCGGCAGTGAAGATGAACATTTTGCCTAAAATGTTATTTCTATTTCAAAACTTACCTATTATCAGAAACTACAGTTATATCAAAAATTGGAATAAAGACATCTCAAAATTTATTTGGAAGAAGAAACATCCAAGAATTAAATTTGTGACAATGATCACATCAAAGGAAAAGGGGGGTTTTGGACTTCCTGATTTGACATTATATTATGAAGCTGCGGCATTGTCGTGGATAAAGGAATGGTCCTCTCTGAAAAAACCCAAAATATTAACCATTGAAGGATTTGATTTGAGACAAGGATGGCATAATTACCTTTGGTATGAGGGAGCTCAAAAGGAGAAAAACTTTGGGAACCATTTTGTACGCTCTGCATTACTAAAAGTGTGGAGAAAATACAAAAACCTTTTTTGTCAAAAAACCCCCTTATGGGTATCGCCCTTAGAGGCAAAACAGAGAAGGCTACTAGGTTGGTCTCAATGGCCGAAATATGGTGATATATTATACAAAAAAGGAGCCCTATTTGAATTAAAAAGACAAGAGGAGATTGCCTCTCAATTTAAAAACATATCCTGGTTCCAATACGCACAACTCAAAGAGGCCTATAATGCTGATAAAAAAAGGGGTTTTGGAGAAAAAGAGGACTTTTGGGGAAAATTATTACAATCAGAAAAGAAACTTATCACAAAAATATATAGTAAACTCTTGGAGTGGGCTACAGAAAAAGAGGTGATAAAAGACTCAATGCTTAATTGGGCGAGAAACATTGGCAGATCGATCTCATTAAAAGAATGGGAAACAATTTGGGTGAAAAGGATGAAATATACCTATGCCTCAGATCTACAAGAGAATCTATTAAAGATGATGCATAGGTGGTATATGACCCCAAAAAAATTAGGACTAATGTACAAACAAATGAGCACAAATTGCTGGAAATGTAAAAATCATGAGGGATCTTTTTACCACATCTGGTGGTCCTGTGATAAGGCAAAGACTTATTGGCAAATGATCCATCTTGAATGTAAAAAAACATTAAAACTAGAATTTCCTTTGCAACCGGAACACTATTTACTTGGGATGTTTGATTCGAAGATCCTGAAAGACGACAACAAGGAAAAACTTTTTACTTTCTTTACAACGGCAGCACGAATGGTTTACGCCAGGATGTGGAAGCAGGAAAATATACCTTCTAAAATAGACTGGATTGTTAAAATAAAAGATATTAAGGACATGGATGAACTTACACATTGGCTCAGACAATGGAAGGGCCGGGTAATCAACCCAACGGACTGGTCGGTATTACAAGAGTATTTAGAAGACAAAGAAAATTGGTCCAAACACTGATTAAGAAGGGGATTAGAAGATATAAAAATGGACAATGCATATGTTTATAAACCAATATAATGAGACATTAGTTATTAGTCATAAGTTACAAGAGATAGGTAAATGATATATTATGTTGTGATTAGCATACATAGCTTAAGGGATAAGCACAAAGTAAGATGAATGGAGGTCACTGTAGGGGGTGGGTTTTTTTTTTTTTTTTTTTTTTCCTTGGTTTTTCTTGTTTTTATTGTACATGGCTGAAAATCCTAAAAAATCTAGAGTCAAAAAAAAAAAAATATCTTTACAAACCTTTACCGCTCTTTTGCTGTAAAGTTGTAGCACACATCCCTCGGTTTTGTGGAACAGCCTGCAGGGTATGATAGACAGCGCTGTCTGGATAAAAGTCTGCTTCAGTCTTCTTGCAGATATAGGCGGCAGCAGCATGAAAAACAGGAAATAAATCAATCTGTCCTGGAGAATTTCACAGTCACAAAGCAGTGCCGGGGACTATTGATTTTATAACTTCTGATATTGACATGTCCAGTGGAGGGTGACCAAAATGGTAAAAGGTTTAAAAACCATGCCCTACAAGGAGTGGCTTAGGAGGATAGGTATGTTTAGCCTGGAGAAAAGAGGGTTAAGAGGGGACACATAGCCTTGTTTTAATATTTGAGGTGATGGCATATAGAAAATGGAACAAACTTGTTTCTGTTGCTCCAGATATTAAGATACAGAGCAAAGAATACAACTCAAGCATTAGATAGAATTTGCTGGTGGCCAGAGCCGTTTGATAATAGGACATGCCACCTCAGAGTGTGATAGTCTCTTTCTTTGGTAGTTTCTAAACAGAGGCCATTTGTTGGGACTGCTCTGATCGTCTGTTCCTGTGCAATAGGGGGCTGGACTAGATGGCCCTTGGGGTCAACCTTTTTGTGGCCAAACCCCACAGGGATAACAATATATTTTGTAAACTGGTTGCATCTTTTCTGCATACTGTTTTACATCAGAAGTATAAGTGACTGTCTTTTTTTAATGACAGTCTATGTAGCTCTGGATGGCACTCAATCATGGCCTTAAACAATTAACCACTAACTGTACAACCTTAATCTGAGGAAACATGCCCCATTAAGTGTGGAATTGTTTAGTTCTCCATTTACAAGAAAGGAGATTCCACTTGAATATTAGAAAGAACCTCCTGACTGTAAGAGTTGTTCAACAGTGGAACTCACTGCCTCAGAGTGTGGGGGAAGCTTCTTTTCTGGAAGCTTTTAAACAGATGCTGGAGGACCACCTGTTAGAGGAACTTTGCCTTTTCCTGCATGGCAGGGGGTTGGACTAGATGTCCCATGTGGTCTATGATTCTATGATTTATATACATGAGCTTGCATACTTAATGAGACTTCAATAATAACCGTATTAGGTGTCATCAGAATCAATTTGACGTAATGGAACTCTACATTTTCCATTTGATAAGTGATGGACAGTATTTTTTCAAAGTTAACTTGTATTTAGTGATAGGATTTCCATCAGAGCAGCATTATGTATATTAGAAACATATTTTCTCATTTTAAATACTGAGTTTCATTTACTATTATTTAAACTCAGTAAACTCAAATCCAGGAAAAACTTCATGAGAACCACTACTCCTCTTAACCTTCCCCCAGTAACAGCAAGAGTATCCCTCTGGGCAGCTAAACCAGGAAGTCCCAAATGGATGGCCTCCCACGAGGGTCTTCCTATAGGGGCAAACCAAGAATGAGCAACTTGGAAGTCCCTGAACAGACTCAGAATGAAGTGGGGAGATCAAAAGACAACCTGGCAAAATGGCACTGCCAAGAAGAATCCTCCACCTTGTGCGACTGTGGAGTAGAACAGACAATTCCACATCTTTATGCTTGCTCACAATGTCCTGCCTCATGCACAGAGGAAGAATTGTTTAAGATTACAGACTATGAGGTTGCTGTTGCCCGTTTTTGGTCAAAAGATATTTAGCTGCTTGTGCTCCTTCTATTTTTATCAGTTGTATACTAATTTATGCAATGCTTTTGATACAAAATAAATAACTTACTATTGTAGTCCTCCAACTGTGTATTGGTAGCTCTGTTGATGGCTCTTCCAAATAACTTGATTTTTCTTGGAAATAATGGTGGTGGTTTGTCAGACAGTTTTCACTGCCTTCTTTTGGAGAAATAAAAATGTATGTGAGTTGGGGGAATGGATGCTCAAACATTAAGGATAAGGGGGGGATACCTTGAAAAGGATACTTGGGCTTCAGGTTACAGCCTGTGTTGGATGGGGTTACACTCCCCCTGAAGACACAGGTTCACAGCTTGGGTGTGATCCTGGACTCATTGCTGAGCCTGAAACCCCAGGTCTAAGCAGTGACCAGGGGAGTATTTGCACAGTTAAAACTCATGCGCCACCTGCTCTCGAACATTGGGAAGTCTGACTTGGCCATGGCAGTCCATGCTCTGGTTACATCCTGTATAGAGTACTGCAATGCACTCTACGTGGGGTTGCCTTTGAAAACTGTTTGAAAGCTTCAAATGATCCAACGGGTGGCAGCCAGGTTGCAGCCAGGTGAGGCACTCAGGGAGCATACAACACTTCTGTTGCACCAGCTCCACTGGCTTCCAGTTTGTTACCGGGCACAATTCAAAGTGCTAGCTTTAGCCTATAAAGCTCTAAACTGTTCCGGCCCAACTTTCCTGTCTGAACGTATCTCTCCTTATGAACCATCTAGGACTTTAAGATCGTCTGAGGGGGCCCTGCTCTTGATCCCGCCTTTTTCGCAGATGCACCTGGCGGGAACGAGAGACAGGGCCTTCTCAGTGATGGCCCCTTGGCTGTGGAACACCTAGGGATATCAGATTGGTCCCCTCCCTTTTAACATTTCGTAAAAAAGTCAAAACTTGGCTTTTTGAGCAAGCATTTGCAAATGCAGTATAACAGGTAAATATAGGACAACGGAACAACTGGACAATGTGACTGGACAATGATTTTAACAAGGAGACACTGATGATATGTGCTTTGGTTTGTTTTGTCTGGTTTTATATTATATGCTAATGTTTTAATTGTATTTTAAGGTATTGAGGCATGAAAGTGTTGCTTACTGTAAACCGCCTTGAGTCGCCTTCAAGCTGAGAAAGGCGGTATACAAATATGGTAAATGAATAAATAATAAAATCAGGAGACTATAGTCAATCTTCCTTGTCAATACAGCATTTTTTTAGTTTTCTTATGCCCAAATTAGATATTTAAATGAACCTCAAACACTGCACAGTCTTGCTCTGCTTTGTTGTAAATGCATTCACATACTTAGTTTTATGTGCATTCATTTTCATTCAAATAGAATAATTTATTGGGTTAGAACCCCTCACTTATTATAATTTTTGATCATATGTGAGATTCAAGCGAATTCAAGTAGAAGCAAAAGCTTGGAGAGTTGTAAAATCCTGGGGGGGACATAGTCCGAAAAGGTAACTACATCAAGTTCTGCTAAAGGCCACTTTAGATCTTGCTGCTTGGTTTGGGGGAACTAGAGGCAGCTTACACAAGAACATTGTTGGCAAGGTTAACATACATAGGCTGTATCCCATTGAAACTGGATACAACTACTATTATTTTTACCTGGTGCATAATTAAATTCACCACCTGAATCCCGTTGTAACACCTCCAAGGCATCTTCAAGAGCTTGTCCTAATAAATCTTGATCTGTAAAATCCTGTGGCAACAGACATTTAATTGTTGCAGTTGAAATGAAGCAAGGGCAAGAAAAACTTGACATAGTACTGAATGATTTCAAAAATGCTGTATAGTCAGCCCTTCACGTTTGTGGGTTTAACTTGAAGTACTTTTATGAAGAACGATGTGGCGAAACTTTTCTCAAAGGAGGAAAATTATGACCTATTGACTTACCATTTTTAAAAGTCCAGATCTTGAAGCCTGTGTATAAAACCAAAATAACTTTACTTAGATTCATAGACTGATGTTCTCAATTCTCCATAAATCCAAAAATGCTATTTTTTCTTTATAAAAAGATCAAACTGAAATCTACACGGCCAGATAAAATCTAGATTATCTGCTTTGAATTGGATTATATGGCAGTGTAGATTAATATAATCTAGTTCAAAGCAGATAATCTCGATTTTATTTGGCAGTGAAGATGGGGCCTCAGAAAACCTGGGCAGGTTGTATGATACAGTGGTACCAGTTGAACATTATTAGAAAAACAACCAGGAATTGGTTCTAAGACACACAGGAAAGCCAGATCAATGCCATACTTTGCTGTCTGATGCAAAGCCAAATGGTACCTTATAATCCTAGAATGAAGAACACTTGCTGCATTTCATTTAAGACACTCATAACTGTCTTTATCTGTTCCTATTTTCCCAAAAACAGTGAGTGTTCATTCACCCAGGGAAAAGAAGAATGTAAGGTGCCCAACAGCATATCCATCTTCAGCCAGCTACTATGCCCTCTTGCAGCAACTGAGCCTGGCATTTCTGGGCAGCTGGCAGAGTTGTGGCACTCTGGGAGGGTCAATTCCTGATGCCTTTCTCAAGGGTGCTTTAATTTCTCCCAATTTGATCTTTTGAGCACTGTTAGATGAATCTGGCCACCTTAATTTCTCAGAATGTCTACTCGGGTTCCAGAATCTCTCGGGCTAAGCAGGTAGGATATGAAAAGGATGGCTGGACCCAGAGGCAGCCCTAGGTAATTTTCAACGGTAAGCAAACAGTATTTTGACGCCCCCCCCCCCCAACCAATCATTGATATATATGTTTTCTGCTTGTCATGGGAGTTCTGTGTGCCATATTTGGTTCAATTCCATCATTGGTGGAGTACAGAATGCTCTTTGATTTTAGGTGAACTATACATCCCAGTAACTACATCTCGCATATGTCAAGGTCTATTTTCCCCCCAAGAGCGCCTCAAGAGCGCCCCTGGGCAAAATCAACCATACTGCAAATGCTTACTTTGCGTAATGGGTTGAGCCGCCCCTGGCTGGACCCAGTTACCCAACACTGCTAAGGTCACTGCCATTTAAGCAGATAAGACCACTAGAATACTTACTGATCAGACATTAATCTGGACCTCAAGGTAGCTCTCAGACCCACCTTCCCTAAGTAGCAGCTGCTCCTTTGTGTAGGAATCAATTGACAGCAGTAAATAAGACACCTCGTCTTTTCGGTAATCATTCTGGAAGCACTTACCAAGGAGAAGACACTGCCTTGAAACACACTCAGAACCTGATTTGAAGACAGCAAGGGCAAATATGAATTGCTGCTGCAGCAGCAACCAACAGGGGGGTTGCATTAAGTAGCAAGTTTTGGGGAAGTATGATATTTGGGGATTTCTCATTAAAAGTAAGATGCAGCACTTTGTGACCTGAGCTTGGTTTTCTTCTTCTCCTTTAAAAAAAAAACCCAAAAAACTTTTATCCACCTTTCTATGGATAGAGAAAAAACAGAAAGGGTTCCCTTAACATTAGAGAGAAAGGTCAAATAAAAAAATGGAAGGGAACAAATTGAAGATGTTGTTTTGATATATAGAAAAGAGGATTTGGTTTAAATCAGTGGTACAGTTCTCATAGCCTTCATGGTGAAAAACGCTGGGAGATGTAGTCAAGAATTTCCAGCTGTTCAACTGGCTCTATTCTTGTGCATTCAATAGCTTCAACCAGGCAAACTGAAATTAAACAGGTTAAGCTTCCCTTAAGTCATTATTCAATTGCATCGTCAAGTGGTTCTATGATTTTGTATAACTATGCCGTATTTGGGAAGGCCTGCTCAAAAAGCTAGGTTTTAACCTTTCTTCAAAAAGTCAGGAGGGAGGGGGCCACTCTTATATCCCTGGGATATACAACCGAGGGGCCACCACTGAGAAGGCCCTGTCTCTTGTCCCCGCCAAACACATCTGCAAGGAAGGCGGGGCCAAGAGCAGGGCCTCCCCAGAAGATCTTAACGTCCTAGATGGTTCATAAGGAGAGATACGATTTGAGTCTGTTCTAGAGAGCAGTGACAGTAGTGGTTATTTTTTGTCATCACACTATCCAAAGCCATTTTTTTTCATTTGGAAAATCAAAATAGGCAACTTGTATACGTAACTATGGATTTGGCCTTGCATAGTATGCAAAATAACCGTGTGACTGAGAATCTCTTCTGAATGTAAAGTACAAAAATGCTCATGTTTTGTTTACCTCCATGAATTTTCTACACTTGTAAATTGAATGAATGGCTAAATGTTCAGCTTCAATGTGTCTTTTTCTTTTATTTATCTTACTAACAATGACAATGTTCAGAAATGAAACTGTGGAGATATACAATCTCAATTTATGTGAGAATAGGAGATGAAACTCACCTTCTAACTGGACCAATCTGTGGAAGGAAGGAGGTGTAAGAACTATGTGCCTATGTGTGGATCACATAGCTGATGAGAAACATCAGTACCAACTCATTCCATAGGTTCTGTCACTTGTAAAGTGAGCCAATAAAATTTAAAGATGCCTCACAATTACAGAGCAATACATAAAGCTGAGTTCAATGGAGGCTCCTTCTGCACAGCTGTATGAAATCCAGATTATCTGCTTTGAAGCAAGTTCTATGGCAGACTCAGATAATCCAATTCAAAGCAGGTTATTTGGATTCTGGATTATATGGCAGTATAGAAGGGTCCTGAATATCAAGGCAGATAATCCACATTATCTGCTTTGAACTGGATTATCTTAGTCTACACTACCAGATAATCCACGTCAAAGCAGATAGTCTGGATTGTATACAGTTGTAGAATGGGCCGATGTAACCAGAGAGATGTGAAAAGATTGCCAAAATTTGTGGTATACTGTATTAGAGTCTTGAATCTTTGGCAATGATTATAAACTGGTTTATTGATATCTCTTCTTTGAAACCACAATAAATTCTTCTCTGGATTAGACGCAAAGATATAACTGCAAATAAAAAGACTTTTTTTCAAACTGAGGCCTTTTCTATACTGCCATATAATCCAGATTATCAAAGCAGATCATCCACATTTGGGCTATATGGTTCTACACTGCCATATAATCCAGTTCAAGAAAAATAATCTGGCATTTATATGGCAGCGTAGAAGGGGCCTCGAGCCATAAAAAATCCAGTTTATCTGCTTTGAACTGGATTATATGACAACTATATGATATCAAAATCCATAATTTTGGCTCCAGAGTATCCCTCTGACTCAGGCCCCTTCCACACAGCTGAATAATATCCCATGTTTTCTGCTTTGAACTGGAATATATGGCAGTGTAGACTCAGATATCCCAGTTCAAAGCAGATATTGTGCGATTTTATGCCTTGATATTCTGGGATATAGGGCTCTGTGGAAGGGCCGTGGGTTATATGGCTGTGTGGAAGGGCCCTTACATACAAGGTCGACTTATACATGAGTACATATGGTAAGTCTTGGGCAACTGCCTCCTTGGCCCCATATAACCCAAGGCAGTGCCCTCTCTTGGGAAGTCCCATTGAAAACCGCAACAACAGGGAACAGATCTGCACATACCAAAATTTCAACAAAGTGTATTACTTTTCTTTAAAGATGCTGAGTGCACTTTTTCCTAGACAAAAGGAAAAAATCTACCTAGCCAAGCATATTTGGGGTTAACAATTGATTAGTCTTTTAAAGAACTTCCTTATCTGGTTGAAGGACTGCATTAACTGGCATGGAGCCCATCCAGACAGCCCCTATATCCCAGGATCTGATCCCAGGTTTTCTGTTTATTCCAGCTTATCTGGCAGTGCAGAGTCATATAATTCAATTTAAAGCAGAAAACCTGAGATCAGATCCTGGGATATAGGACCTATCTGGAAGGGCACATATTTGTCAGAAAATAAAGATCTTTATCCTTTGGGTTTCATATAAATCCACAAACAGGTAATGAACAGGGAAACAAATTAATTATATGCATTATAGAGACAAGGTAGCTTTATTGTAGAATAACTCATGTTGTGTCCCATTAAGTAGTACAGTTTCGCCCACATCTATGACAGGCATCCTCATAGGTTGTGAAGTCTGTTGGAAACTAGGCAAGTGAGGTTTATATATCTGTGAAATGTCCAGGGTGGGAGAAAAAACTGTTGAAAGCAAGTGTGAATGTTGCAATTGGCCACCTTGATTAGCATTGAATGGCCTTGCAGCTTCAAAGCCTGGCTGCCCAAACACAAATCAATGAACATAAAAAGGCACTGTAGACTAAATCATTCAGAGAAGTCAGCCATAGGATTTAGGGGCCTCACCTGATAAACCAACCTGGACACAGCATGCTATTTGAGAACACAGAAATGCCGGACCACTCCAACAACCACCATGTCAGACTACATAGAGAAGCCATTGAAATCCACAAGCACGTGGACAATTTCAACAGAAAGGAGGAAACCATGAAAATGAACAAAATATTTTTAAAAACTCCAAAATCAGGGATGTAAATAAAGAACAACACTAAAAGAAAAACCAGGAGAACTCCAGACAGGAAAGAATTAGGGCCAGATAACACCTTCCAACAAAAGATTCCCCCAGGCAGGAAGCAGCCAGGCTTTGAAACTGCAAGGACATTCAATGCTAATCAAGATGGCGAATTGCAACATTCACACTTGCCTCCAACAGACAAAATATTTTTTCTCCTACCCTGAACATTCCACAGATATATAAACCCCACTTATCTAGTTTCCAACAGACCTCATAACCTCTGAGAATGCCTGTCATAGATGTGGGTGAAATGTCAGGAGAGAGTGTTTCTGGAACATGACCATACAGCCCGGAAAAATAGTGATTCACTAGTGATTTTGGCCACGAAAGCCTTCAGTAACACATTTCTTATTTGGTTTAAAACATTAATGTGGGGATATTTTTGGGTAGCAGCTAACTTGTTTCTAATATGAATCCTTTAGTATACTGTCACTTCTTTTTCTAGAGATTCACTATGTACTGTGTGCAGGGCTTAAGAAATATATTTCTGTTCTTTTAATCCTCCAACCGGCATGGCCACTGCCCAGTTAACAAATTATTTGTTGAATATATTTGTATGCCCTTTTCAGAGTATATATCCTCCTATAACCATTTACAGAAGAATAAACATCAGATGAAAGCAACAACAGCACTTCCTCAGGAGGTTATCTTCCACAAGAATGTCTGAAGATAAAACATTGTTGGTGAAATAAATAGCCTTCCACCAGCAAAAACAAAACCAAAGAACAGTCACGCTAAAGAAATGCAAGGTGAGTAGAAAAAAACATACTTTAAGAAGGTTGTTTTGACTTCTATTCTTGGTCTTCAAAGAGGAGCAAACCTACAGATAATTATATCTGGTTAAGGAAGACAATTAAAAATAATTGGGAACTCTGTGGTCTTCCAGGTGTTATTGGTCTGCAATTTCTAGCAACCTTAACTAGTAGAGCAAGTTACCAGGGATGCTGGAGATTGCAGTTTTGCACCATTGAGAAGAGTGCATGGTTAGGGTTAGGATGCTAAGATGCTCTCGGTCCTGCCTTCCGCACAGATGCGTTTGGTGCGGACAAGGGACAGGGCCTTCTCAGCAGTGGCCTCTCGACTGTGGAACGCCCTGCCTAGAGAGATAAGATCAGCCTGCTCCCTCCTGACTTTTTGAAGAAAAGTGAAAACCTGGCTCTTCTAGCAAGCCTTCCCAAATATGGCATAGTTAGATGATATCATGGAACCAATTGACGACACAACTGACTAATTATTTGGTATGGAGACGCTCATGATAATGTTTGTAAGGTTTTTATATTTTTATATTGTTTGCTAATGTTTTAACAGTATTTTATTATTGTTTTTATTGTTGTAATTGTTGTGGTATCAAATTGTTGCCAATTGTGAACCGCTCCGAGTTGCCTCTGGGCCACACATTCCATACTGATTTTACAAGGTAGTTTCTGAAAGAGTGAATATGCCCCTTCAATCACTTTTCTTAATATCTGACTGAATTTTTTGCTGATTGTAATTTTCCTAACCTTTCCTTTTCACAGAAGTGGTGGACTTTCACTTTTATTTGTTATGATTTTACCTGGATTTTAACCATTTTGTATCCAAACTCTTTTGCATCCGATTGCTCCAAGTTTCCATCGCTTCCTCCTCCTTTGTGTCCTTCTTATAGAATCATAGAGTTGGAAGAGACATCATGGGCCATCCAGTCCAACCCCCTGCCAAGATGTGGGAAAATTGCATTCAAAGCACCCCCGAGAGATGGCCATCCAGCCTCTGTTTAAAAGCCTCCAAGAAGGAGCCTCCACCACACTCGGGCAGAGAGTTCCACTGCCAAACAGCTCTCACAGTCAGATAGTTCTTCCTAATGTTGAGATGGAATCTCCTTTCTTGTAGTTTGAAGTCATTGTTCCACGTCCTAGTCTCCAGGGCAGCAGAAAAGTCTCCCTATGACTTCCTCTCACATATTTAACATGGCTATCATGTCTCCTCTCAGCCTTCTCTTCAGGGTAAGCATGCCCAGCTCTTTAAGCTGCTCCTCATAGGGCTTGTTCTCCAGACCCTTGATCATTTTAGTTGCCCTTCTCTGTACACATTCCAGCTTGTCAACATCTCCCTTCAATTGTGGTGCCCAGAACTGGACACAGAATTGCCCAGAATTAATCACGCGCTGCATCTGCGCATCTCCTTTATTTCACAGATGGAAATGTTGACATATTTTTTTCTCTTTAAAACAAGTTTGTAGTTTAGGGTTAGGGTTGAATGGCCTTGCAGCGTCAAAGCCTGGCTGGTTGCTGCCTGGGGAAATCCTTTGTTGGGAGGGATTAGCTGGCCCTGATTGATTCTTGTCTGGAATTCCTCTGCTTTTTGGGTCTTGCTTGTTATTTACTGTCTTGATTTTAGAGTTTTTTTAAATACTGGTAGCCTGATTTTATTATTTATTTATGACATTTATTTATTTATTTATGACATTTATATGCCGCCCTTCTCACTCTTAAGGGGACTCAGAGCGGCTTACAAGATACACGCACACACACACACACACACATACATGTTCATATATATATATATATATATATATATATATATATATACACACATACATACACGCACAATATATTATATTATTAGCATAGTACAATATCAGTATTATATATAACTATATTGTACTATACCATTATATTGTAATATTATTAGTAATATTACATGTAATATAAAATATATTATTATAATATATTATTAGTAGTATTATATTGCATTACATTATAATATTATAAATATTATATGTATATAAAATATATTATATTACATTATATTACACTAGCCATCTCCTGTCACATGTTGCTGTGGTCCAGTCTGTGTATATATGTATGTTGTATTTGTGTATATGTGTATATTTGTAGTTTTGCGCATGCATTGTAATGTATTTTTTTGGTTTTTTTCCTTTTTAAGTATCTTCTGCTGTGTTTTTCAGTGTTTTTATCGGTGATGGTCACTTGTTGGACTGATAGGTATATTGTGTCCAAATTTGGTGTCATTTCGCCAAGTGGTTTTTGAGTTATGTTAATCCCACAAACGAACATTACATTTTTATTTATATGTCAGCAGCTTATAATACTGTAAACCACCGCCTCCTCCTGAGAAAAATGTATAATACCACAAAGGATTACCACCTCACCCGCCTCATAGGAAATCTGATACAAAACAGGAGCTTTTTTGTTGAGTTCTAGGGCCAAAGAAGCAGATGGCAGAAACAGAAGAACGGCCTGCCTTAGGGGAGCGTGCTTGCTCCATCAATGTTCAGCATTTACGCAAATGACCAGCCACTTCCAGAAGGGACAGAGAGTTTCATCTATGCTGATGATCGTGCCGTTACCGCTCAAGCAGGGAGCTTTGAGGTGATTGAACAGAAGCTCTCCGAAGCTCTAGGTGCTCTTACTGCCTATTACAGGGAAAACCTGCTGATCCCTAATCCATCTAAAGTAGAGACATATGCTTTTCATCTTAAGAACAGACAAGCATCCCGAGATCTGAGGATTACCTGGGAAGGAATCCCACTGGAGAATTGCAGCGCACTCAAATACCTGGGAGTTACTCTGGACCATGCTCTGACCTATAAGAAGCACTGCCTGAATATCAAGCAATATCATAGAAAAAAATCATACAAAAGCTGACTGGCACAACCTGGGGATCACAACCAGATACAGTGAAGACATCTGTCCTTGTGCTATGCTACTCTGCTGCCGAGTATGTATGCCCAGTGTGGAACACATCTCACCATGCTAAAACAGTAGATGTGGCTCTTAATGAGACATGCCGCATTATCATGGGTTGTCTGCACCCTACACCACAGGAGAAATTACACTGCTTAGCTGGTATTGCACCACCTGACATCTGCCGGGAAGTAGCAACCAGGCCCATAGCCAGGATTTTGATTTGGGGGGGGGGGGTGAGTTTGATTCGGGGGGGGACAACCTCAGGATTTATCCTAGCATATGGGATATATTGAGCATGGTGATCAGATCATGATATGAATAAACATAACAGTTTAAATAATGTACCAGTAAGGCCTTCTTGCGGACCACCCTGAGAATTTCGGGGGGAGGGCTGAAGCCCCTCAAGCCCCTCCCCCCCGGCTACATGCCTACACTGGGACCAAGGCAGTGACATCTCCAGCTCACCTGTTTGGTATCAGCCAGCACGCCAACGACTTAAATCAAGAAATAGTTTTCTAAGATCTATAGAGACACTCGCTGGAACACCTCAGCAAGCAAGAATCCAAAAGTGGCAGGCTCAAACCCAGAACCTCAACCAATGGCTGGTACCAAATGAGAGATTCCCTCCTGGGAACACAGAAAATTGGGTGACTTGGAAGGCGCTCTGGCACCATGAGATGCAGAGCCAGCCTTAAGAAATGGGGCCACAAAGTGGAATCCTCGGCATGCAAGTGTGGAGAAGAGCAAACTACAGACCACCAACTGCAATGCAACCTGAGCCCAGCCACATGCACAATGGAGGACCTCCTTGCGGCAACACCAGAGGCACTCCAAGTGGCCAGATAGTGGTCAAAGGACATTTAATAGAATGCCAAGTCTGCAAACTTTGTGTTTTGTTTCTTGGTTTGTTCTTAATGCAATATAACTTTTGGTTCGCTCCTGGCACGATAAATAAGTGTATATAGATTGTATTATTAGTAGTTTGAGTGTTCTATTTTAGGGAAGTCTATATTTTCCACCCCCCAAGGAATGTGTCCCCCATTCCCAGGTCACTGCTTTAACTCTGAAATGAGAAGTCCCCCCCCTCCCCCCCAAGTTGCTTACTATGGGGCCAACCAATGACTCTTGCATTCTTCCTTCCTTCCTGGAAGGGTTCCCTTCCTTTCAGTTTCGTTTCAGAGAAGATTGAGAACGAGAGAACGAAACTCGGAGGAGGCGAGGGCGGGGCAGAGGCCGGCTCTCTCTCGCAGAGCGGGTTAGGGTCGCCCATAACCGGGCCGAAGGGGCCCAAAGCCCGTCGAGGATGCTGACCGGCATCTATAAGGAACTCTGCGCCTCGGGCGGCTCCTTAAGCGAGGACGAGCTGAGCCGCCGCCTTGGCCCTGGCAGCAGACCCGGCCACTTGGCCCAGCTCCTCCGGGACGGCTCCAAGTTCACGCTGGTGACCCGGGAGGAGCCTCCTTCCTCGGCGGCGTCGGGTGGGGAGTCCCGGACGGTCGTGGCCACCACCGGCGCCCGGCTCTGCGCCCAGCACGGCAGCGGGAAGTGCCCGGGAGACTGCCGGCAGCTCCACCTTTGCCGCTTCTTCGTCTACGGAGCCTGCCGACACGAAGGCACCAGGTCAGGGGGCATCGTCCCCTTTGCGAGCTTCTCTCCCTCTCTCTCTCTCTCTCCCCCTCTCCCTTTTTAATGCTGTTTTTTCTTGTTTCCAATTGAATCCATCTGTATCGTTTTCTTTTCCTTAAAGTATCTCCTCAATGGCAGCCAGTCCGTTTTATTCCCCTTCTTTTGGTCGTGGGTCAAGGACAGTAGAGAGTATACGCCCTTATTTTTAATATCCATGCCTCCAAAGTTGGGATCTCTTTGTCCTTCCATCTATCGGGTGTTAGGAATTCAAGAGAGATATTGACCAGCTGGAATGTGTCCAGAGGTGGGCGACTAAAATGATCAAGGGTCTGGAGAACAAGCCCTATGAGGAGCAGCTTAAGGAGCTGGGCATGTTTAGCCTGAAGAAGAGAAGGCTGAGAGGAGATATGATAGCCATGTATAAATATGTGAGAGGAAGCCACAGGGAGGAGGGAGCAAGCTTGTTTTCTGCTTCCTTGGAGACTAGGACGCGGAACAATGGCTTCAAACTACAAGAGAGGAGATTCCACCTGAACACGAGGAAGAACTTCCTGACTGTGAGAGCCGTTCAGCAGTGGAACTCTCTGCCCCAGAGTGTGGTGGAGGCTCCTTCTTTGGAAGCTTTTAAACAGGGGCTGGATGGCCATCTGTCAGGGGTGATCTGAATGCAATATTTCTGCTTCTTGGCAGGGGGTTGGACTGGATGGCCCATGAGGTCTCTTCCAACTCTTTGATTCTATGATTCTATGAATTGTGGGAGTTGAAGTCCAAAACGCCTGGAGGGCCCAAGTTTGCCCATGGCTGCTCTAGAGAACTTGGACACCACTTGGATCTATCATAAAAACATGGAAAAAAAGTTTATTAAACTCCAGCAACTTTGGGCTGTTGTAGGACATGTTCTAGAAGCATTCTTTCCTGACGTTTTGCCTGCATCTATGGCAGGCATCCTCAGAGGCACAGTGGGTTAAACCCTTGTGCCAGCAGGACTGAAGACCGACAGGTCACAGGTTCGAATCCGGGGAGAGCGTGGATGAGCTCCCTCTATCAGCTCCAGCTCCTCATGTGGGGACACAAGATAACCCACAAGGATGATAAAACATCTAAACATCCAGGCGTCCCCTGGCAACGTCCTTGCAGGAGACCATTTCTCTCACACCAGAAGCGACTTCCAGTTTCTCAAGTTGATCCTGATTTGACCAAATTCTGGTTGTGAGGTCTGTTGGAAACTAGGTGTGGATGTTTCAATTGGGCACCTTGATTAGCATTTAATGGCCCGGCAGTTTCAAGGTCTGGCTTCTTTCCTCAAACAGACACAATTTATTTCTCCCACCCTGGACATTCCATGGTAATAGTATGGTAGCTGGGTCCGGAAGCTCCGAGAATTACGGAGATGCCAAGAGTGCTGTTTGCGCAAGCGAGACTTAGCTAATGTAAGCCAGGCCAGAGACAAATAATATAGAAGGAATGTAAGAGTTCTTTAATTGTGAAACCCTAACCCTTCCACTAACCATATACCGTAAGCCTAAGCCTAACTGCTTACCAAACCCTTACCCAAACCCATAACCCTAAACCTTACCCTAACTCTTACCCCAACCCTGACACTAACCCAAACCTAAACCGTAACCCTAGCCCAAACCCAACCCTAAGCCTTATTTATTTATTTATTTATTTATTTACTATATTTGTATACCGCTCTTCTCAGCCCTCAGGGCGACTCAGAGCAGTTAACAAAGCAAATACAATACTTAAACATGATAAAACAGTTAAAAACAAGTTAAAAGAATAACATTATAACAATCAATAAACATCATAACAAACCTTGCCCTAACCCTGACCCTAAGCGTCTCCTCCTTTCTATCTTTCCTTCGCTGTCCCTGCTCTCACTCCGCCCCCTCTCTTCCCTTATTCACAGCCACCGTTGCGGCATCTCCGTTACTCTCAGAGCTTCCAGACCCAGCTATCATACTATCACCTGAGAAGGTCCCCAGGCCAGGAGGCACCCACTTTGGGAACTTGCACACTGGGGAGCAGCCATGGGCAAACTTGGGCCCTTCAGGTGTTTTGGTCTTCAACGCCCACAATTCCTAACAGCCGGTAGGCTGGTTTAACCCATTGCACCATTGGGGGCTCTGAGTATAACAGTTTCTGGAGTATAACAACTACTTTCAAAATAAGTACCGCACAATAAAACAGGAAATAACACTTTCAAACCAGGAACAGGAAATGGTTCACATTTTATTACACAGTGGTGGTGGTGTTGTTGTTTAGGTGGCTGCAAAGGATCTGGAATTTTACTAATCTTCCCTTTGTTGATTTATACTACACTGTATTTCCATGCCAATGTAATGTGTAGGAAGGAAATGCCTTGCTGTAATATTGTGTTTCTCCTGCTTTGTGTTTGCTGATGATGCAGGATGACTTTTTCTTGTTGTTGTTGTTTCACATTCTCTTGTAAACTTACCACAAATTCATTCCTGTCTTTATTATGTCCTTTGTGGCCTTCTCTGCCCATTTGATGATCTAAGGAATCCAAATTAATACATCAAAAGCAATTTGTAAACAAAGTATTGGAGCAAACATGGCCAAACTTGGGCCCTCCAGGTGTTTTGGACTTCAACTCCCACAATTCCTAACAGCCGGTAGGCTGTTAGGAATTGTGGGAGTTGAAGTCCAAAACACCTGGAGGGCCCAAGTTTGCTCATGCCTGCACTAAAGTGTCTGGCTTTATTCTCTTTTTTAAAAGATGCAGTTGGATTGTTGAGTCTATGTCAAGTTACCTAAGAGTAAGCTATATTGCACTCATATGTGATTTACTTTTACAAAAGTGCCTACCTTCCTTCAAGCTGTGTTTTCAATTTTCCCCCCAACTTCCAGGAAACAGTGCAAGTTCATCCATGACTTTTATTCACCCCATAACTTCGCAGTCCTAAAAGAGCATGAGCTGGAAAAGTTAAGCTCTGATGAGTTACGTCAGCTGCTGCTCCAGAATGATCCTTCCCTGTTGCCTGAGGTGAGGCATATCATCGCCTTGATTGATGCTTCTTTTTAATGAATCTCTGGATGAAAGGGTGACTGTAAAAATCCAGTTGTGGTTTTTGTGTCCCTTGAGCACTTCTTTTATAGCTGAGAACTTGTGAGACGTCTACTCTTTTTAATTTCACTTTTGTAACTGGTTTTAACTTAAATAGGTTGTGGTAGGTTTTTCACGCTGTATGGCCATATTCTAGAAGCATGCTCTCCTGATGTCTTGCCTGTATCTGTGGCGAGCATCCTCAGAGGTTGTGAGGTTTGTCAGAAACTAGGAAAATTGGGTTTATATATCTGTGGAAGGTCCAGGGTGGGAGAAAGAACTCTTGTCTGTTGGAGCTAGGTGTGAATGTTTCAGTTGGCAACTTTGATTAGCATTTGATGGCCTGACAGTTTTTTTAAATGTGGTTTGTTATTGCCTGGGGGAATCCTTTGTTGAGAGGTGATTAGGTGTTCCTGGCTGTTTCTTGTCTGGAGTTCCCCTGTGTTTGAGTTTTGTTTTTTATTTACTGTTATATTTTTAGAGTTTTTTTTAGTACTGGTAGCCAGATTTTGTTTGTTTTCATGGTTTCTTCATTTCTGTTGAAATTGTCCACATGCACAGCATATTATTTGAGAACACAGAAATGCTGGACCACTCTAACAACTACCATGTCAGGCTACATAGAAAAGTTAAACACCAATAATCCACTTATACAGATAAGATAATGAATGAGTCCAACAAATAGGTAAGCTGTGAAACTTAGACTGTTCAATTCACAGTAATCACAAAATTAAGCAACATGAAATAAGTTTTGCACAGTCTTTCAGTGATGTTGTTGTATGTTCTTGAATCAGCCTCCCACGACCGGTTTCGGCCTTTGCTTAGGCCTTCTTCGTTTCTTTCTTTCTTTCTTTCTTTCTTTCTTTCTTTTTTTTTTTCTTTTTTTTTTTTTTTTTTTTTTTTTTTTTTTTTTTCAGTGATGTTGTTGTATGTTCATGAATCAGCCTCCCACGACCGGTTTCGGCCTTTGCTTAGGCCTTCTTCGGGTGGTAAAATTCAGTCTTTTACATACGTTCTCATAAGAGATACTTAAATTTTTTGCAATGGGATAAGGTACTCTGCTGCTAAGTTTGGTTCTAATTGCAATTAGAACCAAACTTAGCAGCAGAGTACCTTATCCCATTGCAAAAAATTTAAGTATCTCTTATGAGAACGTGTGTAAAAGACTGAATTTTACCACCCGAAGAAGGCCTAAACAAAGGCCGAAACCGGTCGTGGGAGGCTGATTCAAGAACATACAACAACATCACTGAAAGACTGTGCAAAACTTATTTCATGTTGCTTAATTTTGTGATTACTGTGAATTGAACAGTCTAAGTTTCACAGCTTACCTATTTGTTGGACTCATTCATTATCTTATCTGTATAAGTGGATTATTGGTGTTTAACTTGTCTACCAAGGAACCCATTCATATTGTATTGTTCCAAGGCTACATAGAAAGCCATTGAAGTCTACAAGATGTAGGCAAAACGTCAGGAGAGAATGCTTCTAGAATATGGCCATACAGCCCAAAAAAAACCAACAACAACCCAGGGGTTCCGGCCATGAAAGCCTTTGACAATACATTTCACTGAAATGTTTGCATCCCAAAGTGTTAGTCTACGAGTCCCTTTCAAACTAAAACACAGAAAAGAAATTGAGCCAGCCATTATAATGGATGAGGAAAAACAGGCTGTGGGAAATGTTGAATTTAGACTTCATTGTATTTCTAGATCAAACACGGGCAAACTTGGGCCCTCCAGGTGTTTTGGACTTCAACTCCCACAATTCCTTTCCACTTACCGGCTGTTAGGAATTGTGAGAGTTGAAGTCCAAAACACCCGGAGGACACAATTTTGCCTATGCCTGTTCTAGGTGGTGCATTGAAATCAGTGGGACGTAATTTATATACATTTTGAATTTCTCTGCTGTTAGTAGAACTAATGTGTGGCTTGTTTGGTACAAGGAATGTAGAGAGATAAAGAAAGGGTCATTATAGGTTGTCTATACTTTTTATGTTTGGATGCCCTAAGTCCCTCCGGGGAGATAGGGTGGAATATAAACAAAGGTATTATTATTATGTTGTCAAAGGCTTTCATGGCCAGAATCACTGGGACTAACACTTTGGGATGCAAACATGTCAATATCAAGGCAAAAAATCCCACAATATCTGCTTTGAGCAGGGTTATTTGAGTCCACACTCAATGTGGGATCTTCTGCCTTGATATTCTGGGATATAGGGCTGTGCGGAAGAGTGCTGGGTTCCTGTGATTTTTCCGTGCTGTATGGACATGTTCCAGAAGCATTCTCTCCTGACGTTTTGCCCACATTTATAGCAGGCATCCTCAGAGGTTGAGGAGTCTGTTAGAAACAAGGCAAGTGAGGTTTATATGTCTGTGGAATGTCCAGGGTAGAAGAAAGGACTCTTGTCTCCTTGAAGCAAATGTGAATGTTGCAAATGGTCACCTTGATTAGCGAAGGACAAGAGGGATCCTCTCACCTCTGCAGGAGTCTACCGTATACCATGCAGCGGTGGAGAAGTCTACATAGGGAACGCCAAATGCAGCATTGCCCAAACCTGAATCAAGGAACATGAAAGGCACTGCAGACTAATTCAGCCAGAGAAGTCAGCCATAGCAGAACACCAAATGAACCAACCTGGACACAGAATATTATTTGTAAACATACCAATGCTGGACCACCCTAACAACTGCCACGTCAGACTACTCAGAGAAGTCATTGAAATCCACAAACGTGGACAATTTCCACAGAAAAGGAGAAACCATGAAAATGAACAAAATCTGGCTGCCAGTAAAATCAGGACAGTAAATAAAAAGCAACACTCAAAAAGCAGAGAAATTCCAGACTAGAATTGATCAGGGGCAACTAATACCTCCCAACAAAGGATTCCCCCAGGCAACCAGGCTTTGAAGCTGCAAGACCATTAAATGCTAATAAAGGTGGCAATTTGCAACTTTTGCACTTGCCTCAAGCAAAGAAGAGTCCTTTCTTCCATCCTGGATATTCCCCAGATATATAAACCTCACTTGCCTAGTTTCCAACAGACCACTCAACCACTGAGGGTGCCTGCCATAGATGTGGGTGAAACGTCAGGGGACAATGCTTCTGGAACATGGCCATGCAACCTGGAAAACTCACAGCAACCAATAATAATAATAATAATAATAATAATAATAATAATTTATAAAAGTGCTTCAAAAATGTAATGAAGCTGGGTATTTGTACACCTCTTTTCTTGAGAAATGTAGATATGCCAATTGTTCAAACCCTAACCCTACAGCCCAATGGTTAAGGAAGTTACCAGCTCACATGCCTCTGTTAGGGAAGGGAAGAACATTAGTCTGCCATAGTTTATTTGCTTGGTCAGGCATGATTATTGCTTGATGTAGTTTCCAGAATTTGGTACTATTTAAGCAGCTTAGCTCAGCTCTTTATGGTGTTTTTGAAATGTTGGATTTGTGCTCCTCTGTACATTAATGGAAGACGGTAGGAAAGTTCATGGAACTCTTACCCCATCCCCATTTCACTGCTGCTGAATCACAGTGGTGTGATTATTGCAAAACCTTGTTAGCAATTAAATTCACTCACAGGGGAGTGTTGGAAATGTCTTTAATGCTAGGTTACTTCTCTACAGCAATGTTTTGAATGAAGAAAACAGAGGCAAGTTATCAGTTCAATAACCCGCAAAAGCCCAACCCCTTCAACTTCCAAGAGTTTCTTCCAGTCTGAGCTAGTTCCTCTTATCAGGTTCTTTCCCACACAGAGTTCCAGATGTTTTCCCTTTGTTTTCATTTTTCAACCTTGGCTGCGAACTCATGGTATGGAGGTGTTCTGTTGTCTTAAACACACCAGATACAGAGTTCATGATGTGGCCTAAATGCAGTTCTTGTTAGTCTCAGCCAGAGAAGATCCATTGAACAAATGTTGACTTGCTGAGTCAGTGTTTATATAAACTTGAATGATTTAGAGGATCTATTCTGCTTGGAATGAACAATTAGACTTAGATTAATGATCATTACATTGATAGCTTGATGTGTTTTGTTTTGCTGCTACTGTGACTGGGAAACATAGCTTTCTATTCATATTGCCAGACTGCATGAAAGAAAATCAGTTGAGAATGAGATTTAGTGTTTTAAATCAATTGTCTAAAACAGTGTTTCTCTAACTGTGCTCCTCCAGGTGTTTTGGACTTCATCTCCCAGAAATCCCACCCAGTTTACCAGCTCTTAGGAATTGTGGGAGTGAAGTTCAAAGCATCTGGAGGAGCACAGTTTGAGAAACTCTGGTTTAAAGAGTTTGATATACCAAGTTACAAGCACAATTCAAATTGCTGGCTTTAGCCAGGTTCTCAACCTGTGGGTCCCCAGGTGTTTTGGCCTTCAATTCCCAGAAATCCTAACAGCTGGTAAACTGGCTGGGATTTCTGGGAATTGTAGGCCAAAACACCTGGGGATACACAGGTCGAGAACTACTGCCCTAAACGGTTCCTGCCCAGCTTACCTGTCCAAATGCATCTCCCCCTATGACCCACCTCGGATATTAAGATCGTCTGGGGAGGCCCTGCTCTCGGTCCCGCTTCCTTTGCTGGCATGACTGGTGAGGAAGAGCCACAGGGCCTTCTTAGTGGTGCCCCCTTGGTTGTGGAACTCCTTCCCCAATGATATTAGATTAGCCCCCTTCCTTCTGGCTCTGGGATCAAGCCTTCGGAAAATAATTGTAATGCAATAGATGGATTCAGAATATGTGCAATGATTAATGGAATGACCTCGGATTATGATTGTGGATGGTGTGGTTTTAATAGTGAATGTAATGTTTTAAAATGTTTTCATGTGTATTAATTTTAATGTTTATTTTAATTGTGTGTTGTTTTTAAGGCACTGAATAGTTGCTTATGTATAAAGCCACCTTGAGTCCCCTTCGGGGTTGAGAAGGACAGGGTA